ATCCTCTTAAATGAAAGCCTTGTGTGTTCTGGGATGGATTTTAAGCTTTATTAAACTCTAAGGTGAAAGGTCTACCGGCTACTTATCAGGCCTTTCACTTTTCCTTCACCTTTGGCCCAGGAGTCCAGGCTGAAGGTGCTGACCTCGAGCTGCGAGAGCCCCAGTACAATCATTACACACCAGCTTCCTCGTTGAAGTCCATCTTTAAAAGCATGTACTTGAACAAGAAGTACTGTTATTGTGAGCAGTGATAATAGCAGTCTTATAAACACCCAGCTGTTCTAAAGCTCTCTAAATAACAAATTACTTTTGCGAAAGCCCATCTTTGTTCCAGAAAGACCTTCCTTTTTTTTTCCTTTTACAAGTCAGGGCCACACTCAAAGAAAACGATGCATTGTGCTGCTGCGAGTTGGCCCAGTTTCCAATGGGCATGCCAGTCGGACTTAAGATTTACTAGAAACTCCAGTTTAAAACTCCCTCCCAGTGGCCTTTTATTACCATTAAGAGCCCTGAGAAACTAAGTGACGCCCTGAATCGGGAAAATAATTTGTCATGTGTCACAGATTGATTTCAGTTCAAATTGTGTCTGCAGAGTTAGATCTGCAGTGGTCTATTTGGATAGCTGAATTCACAGTATGGCTTCAGATTCAGCAAAGATATCATCTGTCTCCACTCATCTCATGTCACTAATATAATAACCTAAGTAGGCTAAGCACCGTAAGAGCCTATCCGAGTACAGTCAGCCCTTTGTGCTCACTCTCCATGGTCAATATCAGACGCAGAGTAGATCCCAACTCATGCAAGAGAGAGGCAGAGAGCCAAACCTTCAAACAAAGCCTCAAACTGACTGCATGTGATATTTAAAAAAGCCTGGACTGCATTTAAAACAAAAGAAAAATACTGCTTTTAACCATTACTGTGTAGCAACAGCAACCTTTCATTGTTCCTGTGTTTACATGTTGAGAAATTAACAGATTAAAGGAACTGTTAACAGGTAAATTAATCTGTGCATGTGCTGACCACTGTTACAAAGCTTGAAAAACACTGCAGTCTCTTCCCATTCCTTCTGCTGTGCATTCACTGGGAACTGCGAGGTGAACTGGTTGCAACTTATGAGAGAAATCCAGTGATATAATAAAACTGATGACTGGGAGGATTCGCAGTGTCCAAGATTTCAGCATACTGACGCAGACATGCTATCAATCTGCAAATCAAACACTGAAGCAAAACAAGTAGAAGTCAAGATTTTACAGGAGCAAAAACATTCTGATTCTGTCTCCCAGTAACACAGCATCTTACTTACATAATATCAGGTGATGGTAATGTAAACCTACACACAACATTCACCATTAGGACTGAAAACAAGACAATTGTTTTTTAAACAGCCAATGTCCTCATTCCTGTAACTGAAGGAGCTGTCAGCTGCCATTAACCCAGCCGACCACATCACTGTGTTTCTGCAGCCAACCTCCTGCTCACAGAGGATCCTCTGCCCTGCTCTGCATTGCTCTGTCACATCCAGCCATTGCTCGCTGCTGTGAACAAATGCTTTCTTTAAGCCACCACAAAGGAATGCCAACGGTTACTGGTCAACTGGGTCCTGCCAGACAAACCCGATTCAGTTAGGGGAGAATGTCGGTAATGTTTTTTTGTTTTTGTTTTGTTAGATTTTTGTACATATACCTACTCAAAAAGAGAAAATAATAACAATAATGTATCTATATTTTAAAATACAGACATATTTATATTTTAATAAGAATATTATGGATCGTATGAGACCTCTGATTTACTTTGAAATTCACTTTTCTCCCTGACTGATTTTCTAACACAACTAATTTTTAAATTTCCCCTTCCCAGCACCAAATGCTGCTGGCACGGTGGAGTAGTGGTTAGCACTGTTGTCTCACAGCAACAAGGTTCTTGGTTTGAACCTTCCATTCGCCTGGGGCCTTTCTGGAGTTTGCATGTTCTCCATGTCCCTGTGTGGGTTCTCCTTGTTCAGGTACTCAGCATTCTCCCACAGTCCAAAGACATTACAGGCGTAAAAGGTTGACTGCCTCTCTGTGTTGGCCCTGCGAACCATCCAGGGTTTACCCTGCCTTGACCTGTGACAGCCGGGAAAGGCTGCTAGTCTCTGTGACCCTGAATTGTACAAGTGGTTAAGAAAATGGATGCGTCAAAGCCTCTCCATTTTAGCTCAAAAGAACACAGAGCTCAGGCTGTACCCAAGACTCGGGTACAGAGGCTCTCTTTTTTTTTTGCCCCCACCACCAAATAACAGGAATGCACATAAGAGCTTCCCTCCACCCCCCTACTCCTTTCATAACTCAGCTCTCATTTGGCGGTTTAATTAGGCTTTACCTTGTTTGAGGCTGCTGGAGCGAGAACTTCTGGGGAAGCATGTGAAAACAGGGGGGGTCACTTAACCCATTTGGCTGCAGAACTCTCTGGACCGAGTCTGCGGCTCAGTAGAGTCACAAAGCAGGTAATTAAATATAAAAATAGTTTTAGTTTTATGAGCTTAACTGGTCTTTCTCCTCCCCAATCTAACACTTTTGGGATGAAGCAAAAAGCTAAACATCACCCAACAACTGCTGGACCACACTAATGCTCTTCACTCAATTAAATCCCTGCAGCCAGATGCAGATCCAGCTGTGCTTTCCCATAAGATTGGATATTGTCTTTTAATTTAAAATTTAAAACCACTTTAAAAAGAAAAATAATAATTAAACACCTTCAACATGTGATAAGCATTTTTAAGCCAGGGCTCACAAACTGAATGTTTTGTATTGCCTTAAACTAACCAGCGGGCTAGCTTAAAAGACACTGTTATTATTCTTCACCGCCTCAATGTTTCACCATCCTTGGAGTTTGTAGTTTTAAGCCTTTTTCAAATATAAGCTAAAATTGCATAAATTTAACAAATAAAGTTACTCTAAATTTAAAATACATCAGCTCATTGTGAGGGAGTCAGGTGGGAGGACTGATTGCTTTTCACAAGAAAGACGTGGCAAAGATCAACAACTTCAGTTTTTCATAATAAAGCTCAGTATTTAACACTAAAATATCTTCTGTAGCACATCTCTTCACTGCGCATGTCTTTTTTCATTTCATGACTGCGTCACCAAAAAAATAAAATAAAAACAAAAGCTTCACAGCTATAGGTTTTAAAGAGGCTGTAAGAGTCCTTCATCAGTGTGGAGAAGCAGCTGCAGCCACAGTGAATTCACATCACCATTTTATAGATAAACAAAGAGCAATAAGCAAAATTGACACTAATTATATGTCTGTGTCGTAGCATCTGCTCTTAAAGTCAACTACCTTGTGCTTCGTAGGTTTTCAGTGCAGTGCTGAGATCAACTATACTGTAACATTTTTAGTCGTTGAGTTTAATAAACCGGATGTGTTTACAAACCTCATAGCGTTCTCTGTGTCATATATATTTTCATTTGTTTTTGGAGGTTTCTTCACACAGTAAGTAATGTATTAAACCATTAGAAAACACACAATACGCAATGTATAATTTTTCTTTTTTTACTTTACAAAGAGTTGCAAAGCATTTAGACATTTCAGTTTTTCCCAGCATTAATCAGGTGAGGTTAGTTTTTGCCTGTTTTATTGTATTTCATTTCTATTGTGACTCCATCATTTTCTTCTCTAGAAAAAAATCCAGGGACTCATCGAAATAAAAACATAAGCAATGAGTTGTTTTTCTCTGGCTTCCAGTTTGTTCCCAATGGAGATTCAAGTGCTTCTACTAAACACTGTATAAGAGAGAGACATGGAACTCAAAGAATCACTAGTAGAAGTTTTTGGGAGGACTCCATAATGGCTCCAGATGGCGGTTGTCCCACCACTGCCTCTAAAAAGAGCCAATCATCAGCCAAACTAGTAAAACATGTGGGCTAGTTGTGTTATTGCACTGCTGGTGAACACCATTTACAATAAACATGTAGGTAAATGTACTTACAGTCTTTCTAATGGTAATATCTGTTCAGATCTCCTGTGGGAGGAGCCAAAGTCACTGAACTTTAACACAGCCATGAACCAAGCCGTCATGGTGTGTAGCTTTGCATGTGTAGTACAAATAAAATGTTGACAACCAAAGCTTTTAACCCGATTTCAATTTTAACTTTGGCTTCCAATTATTATTAAAACCAGATGATTAAGATAAAACAAACTACTGTTTTCTAATAATAGTATTATTTTTGCCTTTCAGTACCTTAATTCCCTTTAATTTTACACTTCTCTAAAACTCCAGATTCATTCAGTTCACATTTTTTATTAATTTATTTAAAATTAACATAATTTCAAATGGACTTTCTTAATTTAAAACTTGATTAAAACTTTGGATGCGGCCAGTATGGCTGCTGAGTGGTGAGCACAGGCAGTATAAAACATGGATCTTAAAGGTGAAGCCAGCGCGGAAGTGCCTTAAACTTAAACCTGCGTTCTTCTTAATAGCCAGTAGGGGCCAACAGCTGGACTTCTAGTTGTATAGAAGTTAATAGGAGAACAACCTTCCAACCTGCCCTCTCTAAACTCTGTCCTGATGAGTTTATGGACTCAGTTACTCATCTAAGGTCACACTGAATAAACATCAAGCCCAATTTGGAAATTTTAGTCATTCTAAGAGTCTCTAGAGGATAATCGTGGGTGCATTCATAGGGAAAAGGTGGGTGTTTTTACAGTGAAATGATGCTCAACTTGAGGCTTCATAGTGGGACTTCACAAACCAGTGGAAGTCTGGTTAGTAACCATGGTGGCTACTTCCATCTTTCATAGTGTCTGTAGTTTTGTCAGATCTGCCAGAGCAAAATGCAAACACAACATGCAAAAGTGTCACAGCGCTGTCTTGCTGTGAGCCAGTGATGCCCAATTCACCACTGTGCTGCTACTGGCCTCCATGCTGGTGGTGGATGCATGTACAAATCCCAGCAGAACTGCTCCATATTTAAGGTGGGCAGGAAAACTAACCAAACATTCCCCCAAACTCTTACCTAGATACAGCGAGGCATTCTCCTTCTTCACATTGTCGTCCAGGTAGGTGGGCCCCAGCGTGTAGATGGGCGTGGACCCCATGCCTACCAGGATCTGAGCGATGACGAACAGCGCCACGTACAGGTTGTGCTCGTTGCCCTCCTGGTCTCTGGGACAGGAAGTGATGTCAACGCGATCCCTGCTGCTGGCATTGCTATTCATGCACAGGCCCTCGTTGGCCGAAGATGAGTTGACCTCCTGGATCTGGTAGGGCGGGGAGATGAAATGAGGTAAGGAGAATAGGGCAGCACCCACAGCGATGAAAATGCCCCCCACTGCCAGCCAGCGAGGCCTCTGGCCCCGCCCACCAAAGTAGCTGATGAAGACGACCACCAGGAGGCTCCCGATGTCGAAACAGCTGACGAGCAGGCCAGACTCTGAGCTCCTCAAGCTGTACCTTTTCTCTATGGTGGTGATGACGCTGCTGAGGTAGCCAGACACCATGAGCGACTGGATGAACGTCAGGTAGCACATGCAGAACAGGAAGCAGCGAGAGTCCTGCAAGATGACGCCAAGGTGCTTCCGACTGGGCAGACGAATCTGAGCTAGCCTGGCTGCGAAAAACCCCGGGGGCTTCCTCCTAGCCATGTGTTTACTCCTTCGGATCTCCGTGTTCTCCATGTACGAGGCCGGCCTATTCAGCGCCGACTTCCCTGGCTTTGGAGGGTAGTTTGCTCTCGTTGGGGACTCGGCCTGGAACGACTCAGTGTTGGGCGGGTTCTGGATGAACTCTGTGCTCTCCTCGGCCGTTATGGACATCCGCACTGAGCTCGCCAGTAAGGTTTTCTCCTGAGATGCAGCTTCGCTTAAAACAGGCAAACTTTTAGATTTGAAGTTCGTACCTGGATCCTCCACCTCGCTGGAAAACCCGTCCTCCTTCTGAAGGGACTCGGACAGCTCTGCTTCCTCGTGGTCAGCCATCATTTTCAGTCAATTTTCTTTAGAGGTTCAAAAAAAGAAGCCGGCCCAGTCAAAGAACACATTTACAGTTCAGGGGCTGCTGGCCATCACATCTATTATTAATAGGAACACCTACTCCCACAAAGAGACCAAAAAAAGCAACAATGACAAGCACGCTCACAGCCTCTACTTTATCTCTGCTGCAGGACAGCAGACAGCTCTGGGTTTGTTTATCTTGTCATGCACACTTGCCTTCTGCCACCATCCACCATAATCCGGAGGTGGAGACCGCTCAGGCCTCCTCTGCTCGGCCAGCGGAGCTCCGGGGCCAGGGCTCCCTGCAGATGCTTGCTTCAGCAGGACGCTGGTGCTCCTGGGTCGGGAGCAGGGATGACATTAATTCACAGAGCATCCCTGACAGCCCTGCCGATGCAGATCACACAGCCGCAATAATGTCAGTTCTTTCATCAGGTTGCATGATCGTCGTCCCCTGCTCCTCCTAACTCCTGCCCAAGTCAAGGGCAACCCCGACTCCAATGTTATCAGCGCACCAGCTGTCCTCCCAGCGGGCGAGGGGGGCTGGCATTTAGGGATTATCTTTCGGTGCAAATTCCTGGGGAGGAACATGAACGAATAAAAATCAGGGAAACTGGGAGAAGTCGTCGAGGAGAACCAAAGACAGCGAGCAGAGACAGAGCTGCAGCTCACTGCAGTGCTGCTCGGCTGCTGTCTGTCGCTGTTTTGAAAACAACCAGGTTCAATCCAGGAAACACTTCAAAATAAAAGATGCAATTTTAGTGACAAAACTCCCAAGACACACAACATCATAACTGTGAAATGTAATGGCCATTTCGGGCTTTCTAGACTATTTAAGATAATATAGCTTGTAGTAACTTTCCTGACCAATGCATGTTTTCACAATTATCTCCACACGGCTTCAAATATTGCAAAAATAAATAAAACAAAAAACCGGAATCCCATTAACTGTATATTACATCTAAAAAACGTTTTCTGTGTATATTCACGTGCCTCTATATATAATCACTCTTGAACATGTGACTGAATCTGCGATATTTAATATTAAATTCGGTCTGTTTAACACAAACACAATAAATTCCTAACAGCAAAATTAGCAAATTAGAAGAAAGGCCGTCGGAATTATCACAATTTTACTGTTTGTTTGTTGTTGTTGTTCTTTTTAATGTACGGTTTACAATATAATGTGTGGAAGATTAAAATGTTTTATTTTGAAAAGAACCATGGCTAGCGGCCATACAGCTAGCGGCTAACAACCCGTAACAATAACAATATCGACATTGTCTTTCATTAACCTGACATACGGTAAAGATGAGACATCATTCAGACCTTCGTGTCCAACTTCCACTAAATAATACTCAAGGGCTGGTAGTGAAGAGTCATTCAAGCAACGTCCATGTTAAAATATTCCACATCCAAAACATCATGTAGCAAATTAGTGGAGAAAATACCGGAAAAGTGTTTTCAAAATAAAATAAAAGCGTCAGAAAAAAAGGGGGCGATCGCTCATTAAAGCAAGGGAACTTTGGAGATTCATTTTGAGGAATTGCAGGTATTTAAAATACCAGTTTGGCCAGTAGCCGATGCACCCGAGTTTGTTTATTTGTTTGTTATTTATTCATACTGTAGTGTCAAATCAAAAGATAAGCTAAACTGTTTCAAATCTTTCAGCTCATTGTCAAAGATCGCAGATGTAAAGAGCAAAGAACACCCCTCTGTGTGAGAGTAAAAAAGCCAAGCAAAGGTTAGACGAAATTTCGAGTTATTAGGTCAGAGGCTGAAACAAGTTTTCACAGGTATCAGTCAGTGAGGCCAATACTTGAGTATGTGACCAATATATAAATATTAAATTAAGGCTTTTTTTAAGCATTTTTATCTAGATCATAAAATAGGCAAAGAGTTTAGATAAAGGTTAAATATAAATTAAAATCTAAAAAGTGAGAACAATAAGATTGTGAAAAAATACTATAATACAAAAACACATACTGCATGTTAAATATACAATATACACTTAATGTTAAGTATTTATTTATTTGTTTAGCTAAAACATCATGCAGCATAATGAGGTTTCAAACTTCTCCAAGGGCTAAATGAAGACCTGCAATGCTTTGCCTAAAGTATGTAGATACCAGTGTTGGTCAAGTTACTTGAAAAAAGTAATCAGTAACTAATTACTGATTACTTCCCCCAAAAGTAATCCCATTACTTTACTGATTACCTATTTTCAAAAGTAATTTGTTACTTAGTTACTTATTTTAAAAATGTTTTACAACCTGAATAGGTAAAGCAATAGATCTTTCTATTTTTTCTGCATAATCCATCATATAAAATGTAATCAAATGAAAAAGTCTCTTTTTGAAACTAGTTTTATTCGTTTTAGTCTTTTAACTTTACGCATGAAGCAAACATTAAATTATATTCAACATTCTCTGACTAGAAGAAATTTGTTTAACATTTAAACCTATTTTCTGCATATTCCAGCATATAAAATAAAAAAATTTTGTGTTTACACTCACTCTTTCAAACAGATGCAAGCAGGGGCGATTCTAGAATCAGAGCTTTGGGGGTGCTGAGCACCCAGAGAGCTGCCCAGCCAGCCAAGATACACTTTACTCGTCACAATGAGACTTCTTCCCTGTCTCTGTCAGTCCCTGCATCCTCCCTGTCCTCGTCGTCTGTTGTCTTTGTCTCCGTTATCAGTCATCATAATTTTACCATCTCTGTACAAGTCTGCAAATTTCTTTATTAAATCATAAGATTCTTAAATTCATCAAGTCTCTCTGTGCCTGGGTCCTCGTCACAAAACATGACATCACTGTTTTGTGCATTTTAACACAATTTAATCCCCACATTTGTGAAAGAAAAGCAAAACACTTTTGTCTGTAACAAAACCATCAAATCTGATAAAGGTTATTTAAATGCTGCAAAAGAAGAATGGATTGGAATAAAAAAAAACATATCCTAACCTTAATTACTGGGGGAGAATAATAAATGATGCTCATAGTGAGTAAAAAGTAAACTGAGTGCATTTTTTGGACAGAGATTCACTTTTAATGTGTTTGTATAATATAATACAGATGCATAAAAAACACTCCCAAAACAGAATAAATTATTACAAATAAATTATTACAAAATATTAAAATATATATATATATATATAAATGGAGGCAACTTTACCTGTGGTAGAATGTATACCATGCATGAAAAAAATCTTTACTGCAGATACTAATTTGACCAATTTAATAATACAAATTTTGTGTTAGATTCATAAGATTTATGAGTTTCATGCTTTCATAGTGGCACTTAGGAGAGCTTGACATTTTTATCAGGTGGTACACACTGTAAAAAGTTTGAGAAAAGCTGCTGTACAGAATCTTTGAAACAAGCTTAAAACATTTTTAGAATATAAACAGAGCACTCTGCTTCTCTTTACAGCTCCTCATGTATGTACTGCGGTAGTCATACAGACAACTGGACGGTCCAAAAGTTGGCCTACCTATTACTGGCTGAGGTTTTAGTAGAGTTGTGGCTGAACCACAAAAAAATATATAATTAATTTTACTCCCTAATCAATTATAACGTGAAGTTGGAATGTTGTTAAAGAGGGTCAAAACTGTTTCAACCCAGTTTGTTTAGCAGATTCTGTACAGCAGCTTTAATATAGAGAGAACACAACTTCCAGATTGTGTGAGTAAAATTTGTTTGTTTTTTCTCTTTGTCAGTTTAACAGTTTCTGTTGTGCCTGTCACTGTTCCCTGTCTGTTTTCTTACCTGGTTCTTCCTGACCTTGTACTTTCTCCTCACATTCCCCTCTTTCCTCTCTCCCTCTTCGGACTGACAATCATACACAAATAGATTGTATTCGATTAGATGAAAAATTACATTAATATGAAAAAAAAATACTATTAAGATCACTAACAAAAAGTACAGTGTACTTTCAACCAAAAGGCAAATAACCAAACCACATGAATAACCAATAAAAGATAAATACTGAAACACTCATCCAACATTATTCTTGATTGACGGATCATTTGATTTTACACTTTTACCTGAATGTGGCTCCTTTTTTTGAAAAAACTTCCTTATATCCATTATGAACCTGGCTGTCTCTCTGTACACACACACACACACACACACACACACACACACACCAGAAGTTATAAGGTTAATGGGCATCCAGTCGGTGAAATGTTGATGATTTTACTACAGAGTAGGACGGATTGTAGGGTAGCTAACGTTGATGGAAAACAAGTTTTCAACACTGCAGGTTACCTGGTGTAATGTTTTTCAGATAAAAAGAAACATGGTCTGACTCCTACCTAACTAAAGAGTAACTGAAGGTTAAATGCAGCTAACATGTCCTGTTTTAAGCCAGGCACTTACACCTCCGCTCCGCTGCGTCTCAGCCACCATCGCTCTGGCAGCAAGGGCGCTAGAGCCAGAGTAGGGGAGAGGCGAGCTGGAACAAACCACTTTGGGAGGGGGGGGTTATCTATACTTTTGTTGTTAAAATGTTACGTCTCAACCAAGTACTGTATGCTTTTTATATTTTTAGTAGTGTGTCACACAAACAGCAAATATTGTCAAAAAAGTAAGAAATCTTTGGGGGTGCTTTGATTCATTCAAAAATGGGCTAAAATCGCCCCTGGATGCAAGTAAAACACAGCAGAAAATAAATAAAACCTGTTGCTCTGTTTTCACCTGTATAGCAGGACTAGGGCAGACAGAGGTTTGCCCTGGTGCAGGTGTGTTGCAGCGGTCAGAATCAAAATCAGAATCAGAATCAGAAAGGGTTTTATTGCCAAATGTTGAGCAGGTTTACAACATTAGGAAATTGCTGCGGTGCTTCAGTGCAAACATACTGTCATAAAAATATAAAAATAAGAATAAGAATTAAAAGTGCTAAGTGGATAGATATATACATGATATATACATGAGTGCAGGTGGTGATCAGTGCCAAACATGGAACCAGTGGAAGGATCTGGGAGTTTCACATTCCCGTGGCAGCATACTGTCTGTACTTGCTCTGACGTTTAGGGTTTTTGTCGCTGTAAAAAGAAGTTTTCTACCCACGCAGTGAACAGCGGACACTAATGTTTTTGTCACTTTTTACGGAATCAAACGCAACGTGCTTACAGGAAAGTAACAGTAATCTAATGACCTTTTTTGCAATAGTAATCCCTTACTTTACTCATTACTTTAAAAAAGCAGTCGGATTACAGTAACAGTAACACGTTACTTGTACTTGTAATGCACGTTACTTGTAACTCATTACTGCCCATCTCTGGTAGATAAATAAGAAAAAACATATAAAAACCACAAATATTATTACCAGGCATCCAAATTCAAAAACAACCCAAAAAAATGAGATGCAGACACTGAATATGGGAGCAGGCATTTACACCCATTTAGCCAGATGAGACCTTTGAGAAGTCCAACACTGATGTTGTGCAACCACATGTCCACAATCATTGTTTCAGTTCATCGCAAAGATGAAAGATTAAGTTACAATTATCATGCAGATTGTCTTTATGGACCCAGCTTTGCTGGCATGAACACTATCAAGTAAACACTGGATAGGGTCTTCCACAAGAGTTTGCAAAAGACAAGATTATTTAAGTTCAGTAGCATGACGAAACATTTGAAAACAAAAACTGTAACAACTTAAAAAAAATACAATAAAGTAAAATCTTACTTTTTTTTATTAAATTTGCCAAAATATGAAC